ATACTTGATAAATTTTATTTCATTGTTAATTTTTGCTTATTTATTCTTTAGGAATTAGCTTATGCGTCAGTTCGTGGACTAGAATTTACTTATAATGATTCCACGTTGTATCAATCAATTAATTTCTTTGTCAAATGGTTACAGGTATACCTGCATTTAATATATAACATTCAATTTTAGTATTTAAATTCCTAATTTTAAACGTTTTATCCGTATTGTTTTTTATAAAAGATTGATAATCAGCTATACGGGGGGATTTATCCCATTATTTTGTACCCAACAGTTATTCCTAAAGAAGCCAATGATTCCGAGCTTGTTCATCCGGCTTTTCACGCATCTCTTACTAAAGCGAAGGATGATTGTATGTACTAATGTCGCTTTAAAGGCTCTACCTATGATTATTGTACTTTTTTATTTACATGTAACAATACATCTTGTCTTTTAGCCCATGGTGTTATATACTTTAAATACTTTTCTATGCTCCTGCAAGAGATGACGTTTGAAATAGACGAAGACTTTCTCTTTGCACTACTTGATTTTACAAAAATTCAAGGCTTCGCCACACAAGAACCTGATGCGTAAGAAAAATTAAATATACAATAGTCTAAATATTTTATATTCGCTAATTGATAAATCAACAACCTATAGGCCACTCATCGATGGTGCTCTAGATATTCCTGAGCCAAAAACTGCAGAGGGCGACAACCAACTGTATTTCGAAGTTTTACATATTAATCCAATGAAAATAAATATATCATTTGTTAGAACTGAGCGTATCAATGTTGAAAACAAGTAATATTTTAACATATTTTATGTTTTTTTGAGCTTTATTATTAACGTCTAACTTTATAGCTAATAACTATTTTCAATATCTAAGACCTGCACCTCGAAATCCGATTATGTTTTTCTTCAATGTTTTAACGATGGCAATAGGGAATATTAATGTAAGTCTCTTTAGAACAATTTTTATAAATCATCTTTGTACTCTTGTTTACATGTATTTGCAACCAGGATGCCCCAATTAAGCTTAATGCTCTCGTTATGGAGAATATGCGCGTTAGCTTTCCCGTTCTAATAGACCGTATACGGCAGCATTACGGAGAAGCCTTCATTTATCAGGTATGAACCTGTTATGTTCAATTCATTAACTTAGGTTACTAACAATCTATCTAAATATAGGTCCACAAAATTGTTGGATCCGCGGATTTTTTGGGCAATCCTGTGGGTTTATTTAACAACCTTAGCTCTGGTGTCGTTGATATTTTCTATGAACCTTATCAAGGCATCGTCATGAGCGACAGACCACAAGACCTAGGAATTGGGATTGCTAGAGTATATTGAACAGATATTTTTTCGTTCCGTTAGATAAAGTAGATAATATTTAATATTTATTCTTTAATTAAAGGGCGCGACGAGCTTTGTTAAAAAAACGGTGTATGGATTCAGTGATAGTGTTTCAAAGTTCACTGGAAGTATTGGAAAGGGTGTGTACGCGTATATATTTTTTTATGATCCGATGTTATTAAACCTGATTATATTATGAGTGTGTATAATTTATATTATCGCATTGTATTAGGTCTTGCAGCTGCTACATTGGATAAAACTTTTCAAGATCGGAGGCGCATGTCACAATACAAAAATAGGCCAAAACATGCATTTTACGGTGTGGCTCAAGGGGCGAATTCTTTGGTTACAAGTATTGGTAGTGGCTTCGAAGGGCTGGTTGTAAGCATTACGAATATTTTTAAATCTTTTATTGGGGTTTAACTTACTATTATTTTATTGAAGCGCAAACCTATTGAAGGAGTCGAAAAAGAGGGTGCTACTGGCTTAATCAAAGGAGTCGGTAAAGGCATTGTTGGGTAATTACTATTATTAGCTTTTATTTGATTTTACTTGATAATAAGAATCTGCCACATTTACTACGAATGATATTGAATGTATGTTATTAGATTTGTGACAAAACCTGTCGTCGGTATACTTGATTTAACTAGTAATATAACAGCAGGTGAGAATCTAGTTGAATTATCATAAATATTTTAAAACTGTTTGATTTTAACATTATTTACTGCCTAAGGTATTCGTAACACAACAACCGTATTTGATGAGAACGAAATTGTACCTACACGTTTGCCTCGATATGTTGGTCGTGACGGAATTTTAAGAGTATGCATTTTTATAAACTCTTATTTAAAATGACTTTATAATCGTACATATATATCATCTCTATTTTTGAAATAGCCCTATCAACAAAGAGAAGCTTTAGGACAATCATGGCTAAAACAGTTGGAAGATGGAAAATATTTTAACGATGAATATGTGGCACATCTTAGTAATTATCAGTCGATGCCTAAATTTTATTAAAGTTGTTACTTTAGCTAATAACTTTTCATATTACGTTATAACGGAATAGATCTTATAGGAAATGACCAAATAATAATGCTCACTAGAACTCGTATGATGTTGGTAAAAATCAAGAAAAGAGGACTAAAAGTTGATTGGGAAGTTCCGTTTTCAGGTATGTTCTCCGGCCATGCATTAATCTTTCTAATTTCTACTATTAATTATTTTTATTAATCCTTTTTCAGATCTTCAGGCCATTAACTTGCAAAGCACCGGAATCTTGCTTACACTTAGAGGAAATAACACTGGTCCATTTATTCCCATTTCGGATCAATCAGACAAAGAGTGGTTTGAGAGACAAGTAGAACAAGTTATAAATGAGCTTAATGCTGAGAAAAAGGCTAACGTGACTGTATAATTTATATATTTTCTATAAAGCTATCTCACAATAATAAATGAACTTTTATATATACCGATACTTTTTATTCTAAATCTGTACCAACAATTTGTAAGGTGGGGTTTGTAATCTATTAAATGAACCTGCATTTATATTTGATAGCAAGGTTAAATATATATATAAATCATTAAATTGGCTTATTAAAATATTTATCTATGTATATACTGTATTAAATTAGTAGGTTAAATCACAGATATTATATTTGTAGTTTAAATATTATGATTTAAATATTTATATGGTGCTAGAAGCCTATATCACCATGTTTTAATTTTTTAAAGCACTATTACTTTTTATACAAGAGGTTTTTTAAAAAATTAACTGAATAAATTTGCTAAATATTGTTGAAAAACTATATACTGTATTGTTTTGTAATTATATACAGTACAGTATATACGTGTTATATTTCAATTTTAAATAAACTTTAAAGTGCTATAACTTTTATAAAAGCAATATTTTAATATACAGTATTAGAGATTTGATTAGGTTAAAAAATAAGAATTAGAATATTTATTTGTTTAATTTTTTTATTTTTTTTGATATCAATTTCATACAAAAGAAGGATCTTCTATAATATAGGTGGGCAGCCTCTTAGCCTTGATCTATAGTATAAATAGGCAAACTCCAAAATCACTTATTTACATATGTGATATTAACAAAAATTAACTCAAATAGCAAGTATGATAATCAAATTTATACACAAAATTTTTCATAGCTCAAATGTTTAAAATATAATATATTTTTTTTTATACTTTGTTTTTTAAATTTAATTTTAGAAAGTTATTTTTTTTTTTAACTAAGATTTCTAATAAGTAAGATAATTTTAAATTTATTATAAAACAGATATAGGTATAACTAAGTTAAAAAAAAATTAGTTAATGATATTTGAAATTTGCAGGAGATAATAATTCTAAGAGCAATATTTTTATTTATTTAAATTAGGCATTTTAAAATTTGAATAAGATAGTTTTTTAAACTTTTTGTTTAATTTAAAGTTAGTATTATTAACCTCAGATAAGTATATCTTATATAGGCATTAGCTTTTTTTTTAATAAAAGTTTTTTTTAATATTTTTTTTATTTTATAAATTAAAAGTATTATTATTTTAGATTTAAGTTTTTATTTTATAAATTTGGCTTTTTTGTTGAATAAATTATTTATTTTTTTACTTGGGTTAAATTAGAACATTATTAATTTCAAATAAGGTCTTTATTTTTTTTTTTTTTTTTTTTTAGCAATCATGTCATATTTTATTTAGAAATAAAGTAGTTACATTATCAAATGCTATTACTACCTCCGGTATTATTACCTTAA